CTTCCAGCCCTGATGCCCCTCCTGGACCGGTGCAGCGTGCAGCCTGACCCCGTGGTGGCCTCCCATCCCTTCTTTGGACTGGAAGCCCAGCTGAGGTAAAGGGGAGGGTGGCCCTTTGCAGGACCACAGGGGTGTCTGTGTCGGGGGGCGATGGGGGGCAGGAGCTCCCGAGTGGGGGTGGCCACAAAGCCATTTAAGCCAGAGGTGGAGAAGGAGAGGGGGATCAATGAAATCTTGCCGGTGGGGCAGGCGGAAAGCAAAAGCGGCTCCTAATATCTGCAGCAAATTTAGGCAACTTCCTTGACGGTCGCTGAGGACGACGGTGGTGAGGTTGGGGGTTCAAGACGGTGGAACCTCCTCCTCCCAGGGGAGGGATTCAAATTTTGTAACAACCGGTTCTGTGGGCGTGGCCAGATGGGTGTGGGCGTGGCTTCTCTTCTTTGCAGCAAGCCCCCCCCCCCTCGTTTTTGGGGCCCCCGGGGGCCGGGGGGGCCCCCCTGGGGGGGGGGGGCGTTTTTGCTCCCAGAAGGCTTCCGTGGGGCCCTGGAAGGAAAAAAATGGAGCCTGGAGCAGACGCACGGAGCCCCCCGCCCCCCCCCCCCCCCTTGGCCTCGAGAGGAATCTGCAAGGGGAATCGCCTGAAAAGCAGAGTGGAAAGGTTCCAGGAACGGCTGCCCCAAAGCATCTCATCCCCCCAGACCCCAGGATGCGACTGGCGGCTTCCTTAAAGGCCCCCCCCCCCCCCCCCCCCCCCCCCCCCAAGGCCCCCCCCCCCCCCCCCCCCGCCCCAGTGTGCCTGCAGCGCTCAGCCAGCTGGTCTCCCTCTACCTGGGGAGGAGCCACGCCCTCTGGAAGGATCCCGCCGTCATGGCCTGGCTGGAGACCAACGTCCACCAGGTGCTGCGGGTGGTGGATGCCAAGGAGCCCGTCCTGGAGGAGGCAGAACAAAAGTGAGTTGGGCGATGGCCGCTGCCTCCCCCGCCCCCCTGCGCAGTGCGTGCAGCGCTGCCCCTTCCCCCGCCCTCGGCTGCGTTCGTGACCCACGGCCGGCGCAGAAAAAGGGTGGAGAACTCCGGGGTGTTTTTGCTTCTGTGTCCCTGGGAGAGCAAGCGGTGGGTGAGAGGAAGCCGTTGGCATCCTCCCTCCCTCCCTCTCTCTCTCTTCCGCTCTCTGTCTCTGTAGGCGAAAGGCAAGATACCAAAACGCGCCCCGGAACGTCTACCGCCACGTGATCCTCTCGGAGATCAGGGAAGCCACGGCCGCCTTGCCTCCGGTGAGGGACCCAGGGCTGCAACTGCTCCTCCTCTGGCCTGTCTCTCTCCCTCCCCTGGAAGCCGGCCACCCCGTCCGCGTGGCTGGCGTGGCTGGCTCCCCTTTGGTCTTCCCCTTCGCACCGTAAGCCCAAAGTCTCCCTCGGGGGCGGAAGAGATGCTTCATTCAGCCACTCAGCAGCCGAGGGCTGGACAATGGTGGCCACGTTGACCGCTGACCTCTTCTCTTCCTCTCTCAAGGAAGTGACCGCCCAGCCCATCATGGGGTTCGACCCTCTGCCACCCCTGGACTCGATGGCTTCCTACTCGAGGCCCGAAAGGTATTTCCCCACTCTCGGCCGTGTGGTGCGTGTGGCCGTCCCAGCCAGCCTGAGCTGAAGCCGAGAGGCTCCCCGAGGCCCCCAGGGGAGAGCCCCCCCCCCCCCCCCCCCCCCCAGCCACTCAGGCACCTGCACCCTCTTGTCTTCCCAGGGCGGCTCATCCAGCCAACGAAAGCACTTTATCCCTCTTCTTTCGCTCCCTGCTGCCAAACTTCAACCTGCAGGTAAGGGGCCCTGTTTGAGGCGGCGGCAGGTGTGTCCAGAGCATGGCTGCGGGGGGCGGGGGGGGGCAGGGTGTGGGGTGAAGGGCAGCAAAGGCGGGGAGGTCGGGATGGGTCTAGAGCAGCTGCGGTGCTCTGGCCGGGTATTTGGGCCAGGGGTTGGGTGAGCCATGCCGCCTGGGGGTTCCTTTCTGGGCCCAGATGGTCTGCTCTGGTTCTGCTTCTGGTCCCCCGTGGGATGAGCGGCCACGGAAGCCACTTGGATAAGCCCAAGGCAGCCATCGGGGGCGGGGAGAGGGGCTTCCGGAGGACTGACCTGCCTGGGTGTCTCCCTCTCCTCTGCCCCATCCCAGGGGGACATTCGCGCCGGAGGAGAAGCCGAGCCGGGTGCCGGGCAGAACCTCAACCAGGGAGTGAACCGGCTGATGGCGGCCATGCGGGACATGCTGGCCAACATCCAGTTCCAAGAACCCCCCCAAGATGACAACCCCGAGGGCGATGGGGGAGACTGGGACTGAATCCTGGCGCCCCTCCCTCCCCCACACACACAATAAGCAGGTAGAAGCACCTGGAGCAGCCTCTGTTCTTCACCTCTGCACGCACCTCTCCGTCTTCCCCATCAGGAAGGGGGCACCAGCACGGGACAGCATTTTGGAAGGGAAACTTCACTTTTTAATTAATAAAAGTTAGGAAAATGTTTTTTTTTTTTTAAAATACTCTTGACGCAACTATGGTTGAACCTCTCAGTCTTGATATTTGGCAGAGACCCTTTGCGAGAGGGAGGGAGGGAGGGCTGGGCTCCTCGGCATGCTGTGGTTCTGCACTGGGGGGGGGGGTGTCCTGGAAGAGCCCCTCCCCCTTTTTTTCAAATGCTTGAGATCTGTTCAGCCTCCAGTGTGGCCCCACAATATGTACGCAGGCATGTTTCCATCCTTCACACACACACACACACACACACACACGCATACATCAGGCGCCCATCTGCAGCGTTGTTTATAAACAGGGCAGCCCAGACAGCCTGCGACGCGGGGAAGGCAGCTGCCAGGATAGGAAGGTGGCAGCTGCTCCTGAGCTGGGCACAGGCCCATTTCCTGGAGCTCCCGGGCCAGCGCAACCCACGGACCCCGGGGGCTCTGCTTAACTTGCCTGCCCCTCTGACGGCCAAGCCAGGCCCTGTTCTGCCGCAGAGCCAGAGAAATGGAGCAGGCCAGGGAGGACGAGGCGGCCTCTGGTTGTGCTCGGAAGCCAATTTTTTGTTTTTGTTTTTTTTAAAAAAACATTTATTTAAAAAGTGGGGGGGGGGGAGCCAAATTGCCACTTCCACTGTAAAGTGACGGAGGGTTTTTCCTCTTCAGTTGCTCCAGGAAGGGTTGCCTTTGGCCCAAACGCAGCGCTTCAGAGCTCTTTTGGTGCCTTCCCTTTCGAAGGCCAGCTGCCCACTGCTGAGCTCAGGCCAAAGACCACTACCTGGAGCAACTGACCTTTAGCCTGCTGCTCCTTCCCTGCTCCGCCTGTCATATGTTAAGTGCAAGGAAGGCCACGCGTGCTCCTTGGTCCATCCATGAATCTCTCCCCGACTTTCCGTAGCCCCGGCCCAGGGATGCGGTTTTTGTGATTCTGCCGCTTCCGGATTGTGTTTCTTGGTCTCAATGAAGAGGGTGGTCTTGTTAAGCCTGACCCCTCCCCCTCCCTTCCCCCAGTGGGCTAGGCAGTCTGCCCCTGTGCAGGTGTCCCCACCAGAGGCCTCCCTTTGGACCGATCGGGGTCCTAGGGATCCAGGCCAGCTGGCATGATCTGAGATGATGGTGCCTATGTCCATGTGGGCAGTCAGAAAGATGGTCCCGATGCGTCTCTGCAGACCCCACCTCAGAAAAACATGAGCTGCCAATAGAGGGACTTGTCATAATAATAAGCTCAGCAACTTGGGCCTGGAAGTAGATTGCAGAAGAGTATGGCCGTTATTTCGGAGGGCAGAGAGCCTTGGCCACAACCACGGGAAGCTTTTAACAAAGGCCAAGCTCTCGACAGACGGTGTGTTATGTAGACAGCGCAAGAAGTTCTGCAGGAGAAGATGCTGAAGTGGTGGAGGAGGAGGAGGAGGAGGAGGAGGGCGCAGTCTGCTACTTAAGGGTATCCTGGCCGTAACGGGAACCTCGCTGAAAGAAATCTAGCTGAGGGTCATTCAAAGAACAGCAGGTCAGATATGGCTGGCCCTGATGCCGTAGCAGTCTGGCCAAGCTGCCCCTCTCTGCGGCCATCTGTGACCCAGGCTCCTCCGCTCCCCCTTGCAAGCCCAGGGGACCACCCTCTCCTTCCTGGTTTTCTGGAGCTTCCCCTTCGAGAACGGCTGCCCCTCATCGGTGTTTATGAAGGCCGCGGTTCATCCGGACCGTTTCATAATATCTCCCTACCGCTCAAAGGGCTCGCCCGCCTGACTTGTTATCATGTGGGTCACCCCCCCCCCCCCCCCCCTTCTGCTAAAGGAGGAGCCGTGTCTGTTCCTCTAAAAGGAGGGGAAAGAAAGAGTTCTTTCTTTGCCCTTAAGTTTTGCTAATCAATTTTGGAGGCAGGGACAAATTCAGCCATTATAGCATTAGGAAGGGAAGCAGGGGGACTTTGACATGCACACAACACTTCCCAAGAAAGAAGCTGGAGGGATCCTGAGCTGCGCAGGCTGAACAACAAAGGCGACCTGCAGAAGCCAACGAGAAGAACCGCCAAGAGGCCGGTGCTTTGGGATCCCTGGAATCCAGTCGCAGCCGAGTCCTCCTGGGAGCTGGGGGAGCCTTGCTGCCTTTGCCATCTCCGCTGCTTTGTGGGAGAGCTGATCGCGCAGAGCCAAGACTTTCTGGAAGGGAAGCTGCTGACGGAGGAACCTGCGGCCACAGGTGAGTGTTTGGGGCAACCAAAGATACTGGCACTCACCCGAAAGCGCTTCTGAAGAAGAAAAGCTCTTCCAAAATTGGTGCCCCCTCCTATTTTTCACAAGCGGCCCTCCAAGCGCCCAGGATGCCTGAGGCGTCCCCCATGAGGGTGCCCCTGGATTTCCCCAACGGCACCACTGATCCTCTGGTCAACTGGACCAACGAGACCTTCTGTGCCAGCGAGCAGCAAGTGGTGATCCCCAGTGAACTCTTCCTGACGCTGGGAGCGATGAGCTTTGTGGAGAACCTGCTGGTGGTGGCTGCCATTGTCAAAAACCGGAACCTCCATTCCCCCATGTATTACTTCATCTGCTGCCTGGCCGTTTCCGACATGCTGGTGAGTGTCAGCAACCTGGTGGAGACCCTCTTCATGCTGTTGATAGAGCACGGGATGCTGGTCATCGAGGCCAGCCTGGTCAAGCAGGTGGACAACGTCATGGACATGCTGATCTGCAGCTCCTTGATGTCCTCGCTCTCCTTCCTGGGGGTCATCGCCATGGACCGCTACATCACCATCTTCTACGCCTTGCGCTACCACAGCATCATGACCATCCAGCGGGCCGCCATCCTTATGGTGGCTGTCTGGCTGGTCAGCATCGTCTCCAGCATCCTCTTCATCGCTTACGACAGCACAGCCGTCCTCATGTGCCTGGTGGCCTTCTTCCTCTCGGTGCTGACCCTCATTGCAGGGCTGTACATCCACATGTTCGTGCTGGCGCACCGGCACGCCAGGCAGATTTCGACCATGTATGGCAAGCAGCATGCGCCCCAATTTACCAGCATGAAGGGGGCCATCACCCTCACCATCTTGCTGGGGGTCTTCTTGATTTGTTGGGGACCCTTCTTCCTCCACCTCATCCTTCTCCTCATCTGCCCCAGCCGTCCTGCCTGCAAGTGCTACTTCCGCTACTTTAGCCTCTACCTCATCCTCATCATCTGCAATTCTGTGGTGGACCCCATAATTTACGCTTTCCGGAGCCAGGAGCTCAGGAAAACATTGAAAGAGGTGGCCCTGTGTCTCTGGTGACAGAGAAGGAGAGGCTGGCTCCCTAGGACCCGGTGCAAGGCAGTCACCCTCACCCCAAAGAGGGGCTCGGTGCGCTGTTGAGGGCCAGCAGGCGACTCTTCGTGACTCAGCAGCGGAAATTGTGGAGAAGAGGTTTCTGGCCGTTGGAAAAGCCCAGCACCCTGCCTCTTCTCTCCGCCTTGTAGCCAGCTGGGCACTTATTGGATGGCCACAGGCTGGAGTTGGAAAGAGTCACATTGCCGAAATCTGCCCTAAGGGGCGTCTTGTGTCAGCAGCTGCCTCCTATCGTTGTTCCCAGCAAACACTCTCTTGCGATTCCCACTGGTTCTGTTTAGTCCCAACTGGCAGAGGACAAAGGGCTACACCCCCCCCCCATCTCCCGCTCAAATCCTGCTGTAAAACTGGTGGCTCAGAACCAGGGCTGGGGGCCAGAGAAGGCAGTCCCAGACATTTCTCACCCTGGACTGTGGGATCGTTTGCTGGAGAGCCGGATTCATGCCTGCGTCTCTTCTGCAATGTGAGGTGAGCAAGGCTGCAATAGACAACTTGGAGAACAAGAAAATTATCCAGCAGCTAAATAATTATCCAGCAGCCACTCAGTTCCACTTTTCTCTTGGGCAGAATTTATGCTTTACACTAGCAGTTTGAATGCAAACACCATTTTGTACAGGATAGTTGTTGCTTTGTACTAAAAACTAAAGTTTGACATTTTTTGACCGATCAGTGCGCTTCCTTCCTTCGGGTTTTGCAGGCGCCTCTCCTTCCTCATCTGCGGCAGCTGCCCACCCTTTAAGGATGAAAGGGGTCTGAATTAAATTGGGTGGCATGAAGGGTGTCGGGGGAGGGGAGGCCAATGCCAATGAGGCATGACGGTCACAGGAGTTTGGGATCAAAGGGAGAATTGGGACTTCTGATCTGCATCACTCTTTGCAATATTAGCCCATTTGTGCCAGTTGAGCGGGATTTCAGTGTGAGTTCCTTGCAAGCCCCTTATAGAGGTACCCATCTTCTTTTACATGATGTTTCCAAAGGTCGTATTTAAAATCCTACTTCGATCATTGACAAGGCTGGTCTTAGGGACGACGTGAATCCACTCCGGAAATTAGCTTGATAGGTCACCTGGGACTGAAGTCCCTCCTTGTGAAGGGGGGGGGGGGGCAAGCAGGCTGCTCTCCAAGGGACAACCAAAGAAGCAGCTGGCCTGCCTGTGGCATGCCATGGATGGACTCAACCACTGGATCCCGGCTGAAGGAGGGGAAGGAATCTAAGGGGTGGGTTTCATCTGCCATTCTGTAGAAGGAACAAGGCCATTGGCTTGGCTGGGTGGGTCAGATGGACGGATGGATCCAGGGAATGAGGTCCATCTTCTACGCGCCCATCGGGTTCTATTTCTCCTACCTGAAATATAATCCTTGCAGGTTGTTCCTGTGTAGACATAGGAGATAAAAGGGCTTGCAATTGTTGACTTAAGGGTTTTGGGTGGGATGGAATCTGCCTCCAGCCTGGGTCCAAGAAAGGGCTGCCTTGCGGTTGCATGGAGGGTTTAGGAGGAACTGGGTGGTTGCTCCAGCGGAAGACATCTGCATCAGGAGGGTGACAATAAAGAAGAACATCAAATGGCTCCACCCAGCATGGTGACAAAAATCAAGAAGGCGGCCACAAGAGAATGGCACACCTAAAGAGGCTGGAGTCCCAATGACTCCGCTGAGTCTTGACTTTTAAAACATGCCCCCTGGACACCCATTCCTTGCCATCTGATGCCAGTGGGTGTGTGCCACTCGCACTTCCAACTTTGTTCAGCATTCCCTTCTTCCAGTCCTTTCCACTCTTCTTTCTTTTCCTTCCTTCCTTCCTTTCTCTCCCCTGGGCCACCACCTTCTAAGTCACCTCTGCCTCCCATCTTACTAGGAAGCGGGGGAGGGGGAGAACGGGGGGGGTGCGGGGGGACTGAAGGGGAGAGGAGATCCCACCCGCGTTTCTCCGCCAGCCAGCGAGCGCGTCCTTGTCCGGCTGGGCGGCCAGGCTGGCTCGGGAGCAGGTACAGAGCGAGCCTCGGCCCCTCCTCGCTGCCGGTCAGAGCTAATCAAGGTGCCGAGGAGGGAAGCGCGGGGTTCACGCCGGGCCTCGGCGCTTGAGCGGCGGAGCTCGCCGGCGAGAGGCGTGAGAGGAGCAGCGCGGAAAGGCCGGCCTTCCCGACGCCTCCGGCTGGAATCGCGCCCGTTAGCAGCCGCGCCAGGACCGGCCGCCGGGGCAAAGGAGGGCAAGGGCGGCTCCCCCGGCCTCGCCGATCCTCCGCAGCGGCAAGGAGGGAGGGGAGCGCAGCTCGCGCGGACCGCCTTCGCCCCTCCGGCCCAGCCCAAGCGCCGGCTCGGCCGCCTCCTGCGCCGGGGCCAGAGTCGGCACGCGCGGCTTTGTTCCCCTCCCGCAGGGGAGCCGCGGCGCAGACACAAAGGCGAGGGGGGACGTGTCCCCTCCCTCTGCCCCCTCCGGAAAAGCGGGCGGGGTCCGGGCTTCCTTGGATATGCGGGCGCCGGAACAAAGGGCCGGAGGTGGGCTGCGGCAGCTCCGAACCAAGGTGGGCTGCGGCAGCTCGCTTCTCCTGTCCCCCCGCCTTACAGGCAAGCGGGCCTTTGTCCCCCGCCTCTCCGGACCTGCCCGCGGCGCTCCGCCTCCTCCCCTTTTAAAGGCTGCTGCTCTTAGGCCCAAAGCCCCCGTCGCCCAATCCTCCCTGGCCCGGGGCTGGGAAATGGTCGGCCGCGGCCCAAACGCGCCGCCGGGAGGCAGCCTGTCGGCTCGCGTGCAGCTCACAAAAAGTGCGTAACAAGAGCGAGTTGAGAACGAAAGAAAGCGACCCTCCCAGCCACAGGACGGGACCGACGAGCAGGACCGAAGTTCCCTTGCAATCCCGGCTTGTTCTGGCACCGGGGAGGGGGAGGGGCGGGCCGGAGAGGAGGAAGCCCTCCGCACACGCTCAGAGGCACTCTTCTCCAGCAGAGCGCCAGAGTCGGAGCCTGGAGCGAGCCTCGCTGCGTAACGCATGCAGGAGGCGATGCGCCCGATCCCAAGGGGCCAAACCCAGCGCCGCCTTCTCGCCTCGTGCAAGGGCGCCTGGTCCTGATGCTGCAGCCGGTGCAGTATTTTGCAGCGGCGCCTCCGGATTGGCCGAGCCGTCCGCCGTGACGTCAGCGCCCAGCCCGGGTGCAGCAGGCGCCCCCGATAAAACCCGCCGGCAGAGCCCGGCCGCCTCCTCCAATCGCTCCGCGCCCACCGCTCCTGCCGCTGCCTGCCGCCCTCCAGCCCTATCCGCCGCCGTCGCAGCATGAGAGAGATCGTGCACATCCAGGCGGGCCAGTGCGGCAACCAGATCGGAGCCAAGGTAAAGGGAGCGGGACGCGGGGGGGGGGATGCTCAGCTGCGCAAGAGGCGCCTGCACCGCTCTCTGGCCCGGACCCGTTTGTGCGTGAGGGCGGCGGGTAGCCGGCTTGGCAAGACGCGGGTGCTTGTGGCCTGGCTTCCTGGGGGCGATGCCCGGGGGGGGGGGCTGAAGGGTGGCCGAAGCGGGACTCCCCCTCCCCCTGCCTCTCTAAGACAAAGCGGGGAGTGGTCTCCTTCGGCAGCTGAAAGACCCCCGGATCTCCAGAACAAAGACCGTGCTGGACACCGTGACCTTGGTAAGGCCAGAAGCTGAGGGGCACCTTGGTCCATTGGCTCCCGTCTCCCTGCCATCAATTTTCCAGCAGCCTCTCTCTCTCTCTCTCTCTCTCTCTCTCTCTCTTTCGCCCCTCCGATCTTCCTCTTCGTGGAGGGGCGTCTCCCTTTCTCTCCTTCGCCAGAATGAAGGCTGTTGGCCGCTTTGTTTTGCGTCTCAGTCCCCGGAGCTGCAAAATGGGGAAGGAGGGTCCTTAAAGGATGTTCCCAGCTTGGCAGGCAGCGCTAATTGGAGGCAGGGGCTCTCTGTCCCCTGAAGCCCCTTCCCACTCCCAAGACCTCAGGGCAGCAGGTGTCTGGACGGCAGACAAAGAGCTGGGCAGACCAATGAGAACCTCCTGCTTGAAAGGACAGACTTGGGGGAGTAGGGTGGGCTGGTGGGAGGAAGGGGCTTCTTCCTCCAAGCAGAGAGTGAATGGATCCCAAGAAGGCTGTGGCAGGAAGGAGAGACTCCAGCTGCCTCCGTGACTCAGTGCCACAAAGCTGGCTAATCATCCCTCCAGTCCCCTTCTCCCGCCCCACCCCCACCCGTGCCTGCTCTGAATAAAAAGGAGGCCAACTCCCTGCAGTGAGAGCCCATCCCCGGGGGTGGAGGAGCCCAGCAGCCTCCGGAGCACTTTGGCAGCTGAGCCTGGGGTCCGCCCTCCCTCCTCTGGGAAGGACAGCCTGCCTTTCTCCTGGTGGGCCCGCCCCACACAGCCCACAGCCCCCCCCCCACGAATAATGAGCCCCCCCCCCCCCCCCCTAGGTTTGGTTTCTGACAAAGCAGTTCAGCCCTCCAACGGGCTGTTCTGGGATATGGGGGTCTTTGTCCAGGAAATGTTGCTCCACAACAAAGGAACTTTTCTTCAAAGAAGCGTTATGATACTTATGTACACCTTATTATTATTTCATATCACCAGTGAAAGAGAAATAGCTCTTGGAATACCAGCCTTCAATCTTACTGAATTCTGAATTAAGCTTCACTGCAAACAAATCACGAGGGACGCCCTTGGTTGCATAACCTTTATACCCCCCCCCCCCGAGATGCACCAGGGGGACAAATAGCCCGCCATGAAAAGAAACACGGGGGGGGGGGGGGGAGGCAGGTTTCCTCCCCACGGGCTATATAAGCAGCCTTATGCGTATGCTAGTTATGAGGAACAATCCATGGGAACCCACGGACCCTGTAACTGGATCCATGCCCAACTGAGGTTGGCCTTTCCGTGTCCGCAGTCCCCAGGGAGGAGATTTAAGAGGAGTTTTTGAGGGTCAGTTTTGGCCAGAGTCCCACATCAGTGCAGTCCCAGGTC